CGATCGATTGTAGTGAAATTTGTTGCCGAATGGCATATTTTGACTGAAAACTTGAATTTGTACTCAAAATCAAATGTGGTAAATGTGACCTAAAATGCTATCTCGGCTCATGTTCAATGTCTCATATGACAATAGCATTGTGGACTTGCTAGCTTTGTGGACTAACATTGTGTAATATCAGCGTGATCCTCTACCATAAAGTTCAAGCGACACTGTGGAAGGCGCTCTGAGCAACTATACCACCTCGGAAGTGTTGCACAGTATCAGACGAAAATGAAGGCGTTTTAATGTTCGTAAATTTACTGGTACCGTTTAGCTCTGTGGAGAGTTCTAGTGATCGTACGGTACGAGGCTCCTGTTCGATCGATTGTTTTGAAACTTGGTATCAAGTGACATTTTTTGACCATAAACATGAATTTATACTCAAAGTTTCAAATTTTGAAAATCCAAGGTGGCGGAAGTGACCTAACATGATATTTCGGCTCCCGTTCAAGCGATTTTCGGAAATTTTTGGCTGTTTCTTTACAAATACTGTGCCTTTCAAAAAATTATGTTCAACTTTGACCTGACGTTTTTACATGATACCTCTGTACTGTGTATTAAAGGTTCAACCACCCAGAATAAATTCATATTGTAAAAGTAATTATTTCCATAATACAAGAACAACTTACTTTGGGGAAAAGGCTGCAAAAAAACAACAAAGGATGAATGAAACCCGGAATGTTTCAAAATAGTGACAATTTCATTTTCAACTGGAAAAAAATTAAGCTTCTCCCTGCCACATTTCACAATTCGCCTTTTTACCAAAAAGTTCCACAACTGTTCAGATCTCAAAACCGCCACTCTTCTGGGACTTCGTTGTAAAGGCCGGCGAGCGGATAGCGGCAGTTTAAAAATCCTTTAAAACTGTGCTAAGGGTATCTGGAGATGATCGCGAGGTACAAAAAAAATCCGTTCAGAAGGAGGACTTACTTTGATTGAATACTCCGTTCGGATCAATATCGTTACGGTGAAACCAAATTGGATGTCACCGAATAGAAAGATCCTGTCTTTTCTATACAGACTACCTCGGAAAAACACGTCTCCTCTGTTGTAATTCAACGAACTGTTCGTTGCTTTTCGAAACTTCCCCTGTAGACAGATGTTTTATGACCAATGATGTCCAATTATTTCTGTATACGCTCGTCTAAACCTTACTCCTTGCCAATTAGGAGCGAGCTCGCGGAACTGGGATGAGGGTCTCTTGTGTGACCAGACGTAACGAATAAGACGCAATCTCACCCACGCAAATCCTCTTGATCGTAAGGCACGTACAGATATGACCGGAAAAAATTACTCAAAGTATCCATAAACATGGACATTTTCAACTGTGTCGTGGTCTCGTAAGTCGTAAGTCACATCAATGCTGCCGTGCTAAGGAAAAACGCCGTATGAGCCTTCAGACGTTGCCAAGTTTCCTCCTATTAAAACTGAATTTACTGGGAAAGTTGTGAATGTTATTTTCTCAAATTTTCAGACAATTTTGTACTCAATTTAATCTAAAATATCTGAAAATTTCAAAGAAAAATATGCATGAATTTTGGCAAAAATACAGGTTCTTTCAGGGGAACTTTGGCAATTCCCGAATGTTTATACGGCTTTCTTCCTTTACACGGTAGAATTGGTCTTGTCGTAAACTTCAGGCAGAGCAAAAAGAGTTGTTTCCTGTAGAAAATGACTCGATAATCACAATAAGCGGATTGGGAAAGACTGAAGTACACTAACTTTACAATCCGTGTAAGAAATATGTATATTTTTCAAGCTTCTCGCCTCTAAAACGATTTTACGGCACAGGTGAAAATTTCGTGAGGAGAGTCGTTCCATCCAACCCTTGCACACTGGGACGCTACACAATATTCAACATGGCTAACGCTTCCGCTCTCAAATCGTAAGGAACGACCATGATCTTAATGGAGATGTTGCATGTGTGAGGAATTTGCGATTTGACTGTTGATCTTACGTAAAAGTTCGCGAGAAACAGGATGGTGCCACTGGTTTTCTCTGAAATCAACTCCCCAGCTCAAAAAAAGCTCTCAAGTTGAGGCCAAAATGGAGGGGATATCATCAATCCCACGCTACCCTGAGAGTCCACCTCTACATCAAGACAAACTCTCCATGCAAAGATAAGGGAGCAAATACATTGACAAGGCTGCCACTTTATTTGGAGACTCTAAAACTGAAAACACGGCAACCCTGTCAATGTATTTGCTCCCTATCTTTGCATGGAGCGTTTGTCTTGATGTAGAGGTGGACTCTCAGGGTAGCGTGGGATTGATGATATCCCCTCCATTTTGGCCTCAACTTGAGAGCTTTTTTTGAGCTGGGGAGTTAATTTCAGAGAAAACCAGTGGCACCATCGTGTTTCTCGCAAACTTTTACGTAAGAATCAATAGTCATATTGCAAATTCCTCATACATGCAACATCTCCATTCAATTTAAAATATCTGAAAATTTCAAGGAAAAATATGCATTAATGTCGTCAAAAATACATGTTTTATCCGGGGAAATGTGGCATCTCTCGAATGTTAATACGGCGTTCTTCCTTAGCACGGCAGTATAAGAAAGAACTCTTCTTTTGACTCTAGCTGAGGTTTGCACAGGCCGATGCCTAATTTTTTCCGCTCTCAGCTTGCCAACCCCGGATCTCAAAATCGAAGTTAGCGCGCGTTAGTTTCGCAAGCTTAACTCGGGATGCGAGAAGGTGCATATTATTAGCCCCCTGCCGCCGCGGTGGGTTTCCTCGAGTTCCTCCCCTTCCGTAAGGGGTGTCGGCCATTATTCTTCTCGCCATCATTTGACAGCTCCCGTGACTCCCACATTATTTACGGCCGTCCTCCCGCCATTCCCGGATAATCGCTCTCTGTTCCCGCGAAACAATTCCCTCTTCGGGCACAGATATTCCAATAAATCGACCGACGGTTCGAAAAAGTATCCCCGGGCAGGCGGAGTCGCGAGGCGTGTTGTCGCGATATCGATCGATCTGCAGTTTAAACCTATGTAAAAAATCGATAAACAGGGTATACCTCAATAATCGATTCTTTGCCATTGCTTGAATGGGAAGATATCGATAATAATCGATCGTTCGCACCTCGCATCTGGCTCATGAATGCAGTGAGACTCGGATGATATCATGCGTTTTCCGTTTGAGCGAACTGTTTTTCCCCGTTTATCATTTTTATAGTCTATTAACGAGCTGCTGGGGAAGTAAAGCATGCAGTTCACCCACTTTTACTTTGTTTGAGCGAGCGGATACTCGACGCTTTCGAGAAAGATTCCCGCGTTCAATAAGGCTTGATTTAGGAATGGAAATGTTGCATGTGTGAGGAATTTGCGATTTGACTATTGATTCTTGTGTAAAAGTTTGCGAGAAACACGATGGTGCCACTGGTTTTCTCTCAAATTAACTCCTAAGCTCAAAAACAGCTCTCAAGTTGAGGCCAAAATAGAGGGGATATCCCACGCTATCTTGAGAGTCCACGTCTACATCAAGACAAACTCTCCATGCAAAGATAGGGAGCAAATACATTAGCAGTGATGCCGTGTTTTCAGTTTTGGAGTCCCCAAATAAAGTGGCAGCCCTGTCCATGTATTTGCTCCCTATCTTTGCATAGAGAGTTCGTCTTGATGTAGAGGTGAACTCTCAGGATAGCGTGGGATACCCCCTCCATTTTGGCCTCAAATTGAAAGCTTTTTCAATCCGTTGAAAATATCGATTTTAGGTGGGGGAAGCTGCGTCAATATATATATATATATATATATATATATATATATATATATTTACATACATTTGAATAGGAGAAAAACAGTGTCACCAACTTTCAAGAATCGCCAACGGTGCGGGCTCCCCTGAAATGCGCCCTTTTAGAGATAGGGTGGTAGGTGATTCGTCAAGTGACGTGGCCGAACTGGCATGCGATATATTGCATCGATCAGGTCAAAAATTTCGGCAGATTTTGAATTTTTAGCAAAAAGAACGACGATAGCCCCTGCGCATGAGCCTAAAGAATCATTCTAAACCCAAAAATTGGCAAAATTCAGAGAAATGAAAGCAGAGTAGTGTTTGGAAAAAAAACCTCGCATTAGATTCTGCTATCGATTTCTGTATCGAATGCAAGGTTTTCTCCAAAGACTATTCTGCTTTCATTTCTCTGAATTTTGCCGAGTTTTAGGTTTAGAATGATTCTTTAGGCTTACGCACTGGGGCTATCGTGCTTTTTTTTTTGCTAAAAATTCAAAATCTGCCGAAATTTTTACATTTTATATCCTGAGCAGACAAGAAGTACAAAAAATAAAATGATTATAGAGGGATTGAACACTCTTTTAAACATGGAAAAACTTGCTTTCTCATTCATACATTCAAATTACCCTAGAAAATAAGCAGTGAAAAAGTTGCAACCGTGCAAATTCAAGTATGAATGTTTTTTCCATCACTGCCAGGGATGAGAAAATAAGCAACTGCGCACGCGCTGGACTGGAGTGAAATATCAGCGTTAATATCTGCCATTAAGTCCAAGCGACACTGTGGAAGGCGCTCTGAGCAACTATTCCACCTCAGAAGTGTTGCACAGTATCAGACGAAATTGAAGGCGTTTTAACGTTCGTAAATTGACTGGTACCGTTTAGCACTGTGGAGAGTTCTGGTGATCGTTCGGTATGAGACTTCTTTTCGATCGATTGTAGTGAAATTTGTTGCCGAATGGCATATTTTGACTGAAAACTTGAATTTGTACTCAAAATCAAATGTGGTAAATGTGACCTAAAATGCTATCTCGGCTCATGTTCAATGTCTCATATGACAATAGCATTGTGGACCGGTGAAATACTCATTCGTTATTGCCCGAATTTCTCCGAGTGAAGCGATTTGCGATGGAAAATTCGGCAGCATCGAAATGTAGTTGTGCTCTTCCGTGAGTAAAACAACGGAAAGTCATGAAATAATTGTGCTTTAAACTCTGTTGCAGATCGTGTGTGGCATTTCGGCGCTCGTGATGGGAACAGTTGCCTTCATCGAGGAGAGGGGAGGTTTCAATCTTGGGCTGGGAGTTCCTGCGGGAGTGACTACCGTCGTAGCGGCAGGTAAAAGCTGATTCCCTCCTAAGGTAAAAATGATTTGGACCAAGTTAAGCAGAAAGGAACCGAGCCACATCAGGTATTGTCAAATTTGATAGGGCACGTTAATTTTTTCATGAAAACAGTTGTGCAGATTTTTGCGCAAATGTCAGTGAACTATTCACATAGTACGAAGCGAATTCCTTAAAATTTTCATAAGAATCCGCACAAACGTTCTATCATAAAAAATTAAATTGCCTAGTTAAATTTGGTGATGGATAATGTGGCTTGGCTCCTTTCTGCTAATTGCGGCCCATTTGAAGACTGCGCATAATACAGCCTTACGCTCATGCTACGAATTCCTAAAACCACAGCCTGATTTTGTAAATTGGACGTATTTCTGTCAAACGGAACTATGTGCACCAAGACATGAGTCTTGAGACCCATAAGAATATATGCGTAACAGGACTCACACCATAATGCACATAGTTCTGTTTGACAGAAATGCGTCCAATTATCGCAAAACGGAGCGCCCTAATTGGTAAGCCGCAAATCTTAAAGTATAGGTTGGCCTCGAAAATTGCAGGATTTTAACAGGTGCTCAGAGAGTAGTCGACCTGATTACAGTCGTCCCTCTTAGTTTTTAGGCTAACCTCCGGCTTGAAATTGGACCGAGTTTAGCAGAAAGGAACCAAGCCACATTAGCCATTGCCAAATTTAAGTGGGCAATTTAAAGTTTACAAGGAAACGTTTGTGCGCATTCCTTCGAAAATTTTAAGGAATTTGCTTTCTACTATGCAGAAAACGGACTGAAATTCGCAACAAAATCCGCACAACGTTTTCATGTAAAAAATTAGATAGCCCGATTAAATTTGGCAATAACTGATGTGGCTTGGTTCCTTTCTGCTTAACGCGGTCCAATTGACTCTTTACCCACCAACAAGACCATTCCATTGAGATGATTCGGGAGCGTTCATACATAACATAACGCTCTATGCTCTATGAAGGGGGAGGGCGTGCCTGCATTACGCTGCGTTACAAGGGAGACGGGTATCAGTGCCAGTATCACGCAACCCTCTCTTTTGGTAAAAAGAAAAAGACACAAAATCCAAAATGTATCATCTTCATTTCTTCGACATTATTTGTCACATCAGTAAACAGAGTTCAAATTCTACCCAGCTTTATATTCAATCGTTCTCCACAATTTTTTTTGGGATCTTATGGGGGAATTCCGTCTAGCGTTAAGTAACTACCAAGGAGGGTCCGGGGTTGCGTTAGAAATAGAAAATAGAACAGGGGGTCAAAATGCCGAAAAAAGGCGTTGCGTAATTTATGAACGTTCCCTTAAAGAATCAGGCTTCTGTCAAGATGTATACGCACCCTCATCCATGGTGGTCGGATTCTAAGCCCTTGAAATGTTTATTTTTAAGTACTATTCGTCTATTCTGCCGTGCTAAGGAAAACCCCGTATATGAACCTTCAGGCGTTGCCAAATTTCCTTCGATGAAACACGAATTTCCCAGTAAACGTATGAATATTTTTCCTCCAATTTTACAGATAATTTTGTTTGCAATTTCACCTTAAGTTCCTGAAAAGTTCGAGGAAAAATATTCATATCTTATCTCAAAAATAAACATTTTATCGAAGGAAATTTGGTAACTATCGAATGTTCATACGGCGTTCTTCTTTATCACGGCAGTATCGTAGTGTCATATTTTAAAGAGCTATATTTTCTTGAACGGTTCATCAAGTAAATCACCGAAAAAACAATGATTCCTGCTACTTAAAACACATGAGCACGGATTTTGAAAGCAGCTTTGTCCATTTTCATTGCTCGAAGAAAAAGGAGGACGGTTTGCGATAAAATAAGCCAAGGAAGTGCTCTTGACACAGTAATGAGCCGAGATTCAAATGACGAAAGGAAGAAGGGGTCATAAAGTAGACATACTGGCGTTGCACTCATTTGCATGTTGCACTCAGAAAACATAAAAATAACGTACATGCCGGAGTCTGAAAAAGAAAAGGAAGAACAAAGGAATGCCAAGCAATACGCTGAAGTATTTTTATAGTCCTCCTCAGTGGCGTGGCGTGCTTTGCGATGTATCGATTTTCATGCCATTTAAACCTATGGAAAAAGATCGATAAACAGGGTGTTCGCAGCGAACACCTTTAAAATCGATTCCTTGCCATAGGTTTAAATGGCAGAACAATTGATACATCGCAATTCACGCCACGCCATTGGTCCTCCTTGGTTGCATGATGCGCATAAGGATTCAGGAACAGGGCTCAAAAAGGCCCAGTAGTTCCCATCGCCTTGCTCCAAGCCTTCCAGGTTCCAGGAGTTACGGTTACCGCCTAAAAACAAAAAAAAGCACCGCAGGAATATTTGAATGTTGTCGAATTTCTCCCCATGAAATATTCATTTTTGAGGAACGTTATGAATATTTTGCCTCAGAATATCCAAATACGTCCGATTGAGCTGTTGAAACGTTGACAGGGTCGCAATTTCTTATGAAAAATAAAATCTTGAAATTTCATGCGAAATATTTCAGAAAATTTCAGAAAAATATGAAAAATATTTTTCGAAATTAAATGCGAAATTAAATGAAAGGTTACTGGTTTTTGTTTTGTGGTACTTTTAGTGCGTTTTGCATACCCAGCCCCTGAAGGTGTGTTTCATATGTTTCAGAACTGTGTGAAATTTCATGAAATATTTCACGGAAATTTTCAATATTTCATATTTTTCAATTCACCCGTGCAACCCTGAACCGATTGTGGCAAAAATCGACCACTCGATCTACCGTGATACCGAAGCAGTATTCTGCCTTGTCCCTAAAATTTTAGGAGCCACCTTGGCCGAAAAGCCCAATTTTTAGGAGCCATCTACTATTTTTTAGGAGCCGAATTTTTTTGCATACGTGCCATGGCGAAAGGCCACGGTGCGTATAGAGAGCGCTTAATCGCTACCGCTGCTTCCCGATTGCGAGTTCAATCTGTCAAATGTTTTAGGCGCCACAATGGCCCAGCCTCCCCAATTTTTAGGCGCCAAGGCCGGATTCCAAGGCGCATTTGGCGCATGGCTCCCGGGGAAGGCAGAACACCATAGCGAAGAGAGCAGGATGTGCAAAGATGAAGTCTTGAGAAAACGGGCTCAGAAGAGCAATGTAGCATCGCGTCCATGATATTGGACTTAATGATCACCCATATAATGTTCGGTTGCTCATCACGTCCAAGATATGGGACTCCATGCTCACTTTAGTGAGGGATAATTTTTTAGAAAAATCGGAGTGATAGCGTCCAAAATTGTGGGATGCAGTTATTCTCTGACAACACAAGAGCATATGGTCCAAAAATGTAGTAAGACAATTTTTGTGAAATAGAGACGAAAAAATACATTTCGTAAAAAAATGTGCATTGGTTAGGTTAAGTTAGGTTAGCTTAAGTTAGGTTAGGTTGGTTAGTTCAAGTTAGATGAGATAAGAGAAGTATACGATTTTCTATCATGATGAACTTTAAAACTAAGAAGGGTCTATTTGCTATTGGACTTTATGCTCAAGCAAAGAAGTGAAATGTTTAGCGATGAGCATGGAGTCCAAGATCTTGGACGAGATGAGCAGGCAAGCATATCAACCCCTCATGGAGTCACAAACGGGAATAAAGATTACAGAAATTGAACGTTCTTTGTAATCTTTGATCGGCCCATTCTTAAATTCCTTTCTCCGTTCCTTCTCTCATTCCGTTTGTTCCTTGCCGAACCCGTAATTCCCTGGTCCATTCCAGATTATAATCTTTGCCATCGGTGAAAATGTAATCTTTATTCCCGTTTGTGACACTGCGAAAGCCTAAAATACGGGAACCAATCAGAAATGGATTCACATTGTCTTGACTCTCAGTATAAAGGGACTCTATCACGGCAGATCGAGTGGTCGATTTTTCGCACAGCCGGTCAACGTTGCAGATGGATGTCTTCACCATGCAACTATTCAAAACTTCTCCCGAATGCGCGTTGACGGACGTGGTGCAGCAAGTTGCGACGTTTATTTCCCGTTTACAGGATATCACGACTCGGCGAGGCGCAGAACGCGCGCCGAAGCTGTATGAAAAATAAAGCAATTCGAGACGTGTGACATGATTTATGGACGGGCTTGAACGCAGCCCTGGAGGCATGTTGTCAGACCGTTTCGTTGCGAGGATTGCCTCAGGATGTACTCATATCGAAAACAGGAAACTCCCCACTGAAACACGTCCCGTCCCTCTTATTGTGATCTAATGGACCGCCAGACAGGTCTTTAAGGCTGGCCAGATGTATCGATAGTGAAACTGTCGAGCAGCAGCTACCCGTGTAGCAGAATTTTAAGATTGATAGTGATAAATGGACGGATAGTTAAACAGAAAGGAACCAAGCCACATCAGAATCGAACCGAGAAAAAGAGGTTTAAAGTTTGGCTCCTGCACAAGACTCAATGTAAAAGATAAACTTCAAGTTCAATTTCTGCCAAATTTGCTCCAACAAAAACTTTGAAATTTTGACGATAGATAGTAGAGCAGTGGTTGAGTTCAAAACCACTCATAACTCAATTTTTACCAAAATGTGGGTTGGTTCCTTTCTGCTTAACTCAGTCCAAGTAAGGTATTTATAGTCACTGTAATGTCTATTTATTGCTATGAATCTTCTACTAAATACTTAGTAATTTTAAGGTGATTCTATGGACGCCATATTTTGTGGCAAAACGACATGCGATATATCGCATCGATTGCGGTTCCATATTTTCAACTACTCGTCATTTTTCTCGAATTTTGAGGTCACAATTCTGTTGTCAGCAGACTAAAGAATTGACGCACCGATTTTGACGAACAAATTCAACGTAATAAAAGCGTGGTTTTTTTAGAGGAAAAATATCGCGTTCGATACCAAAATCGAAAGTGCACTCGAATGCTATATTGTTTCTCTAAAAAAAACCACGCCTTTATTTCGTTGAGTTTGTTTGTCAAAATTAGTAGGTGAATTCATTGGTATCCTGACAACA